TGTTTGGTATGGTGCATGCGTGGATGCACTGAGACTCGCAGAATGGGCAGTAGAAATGAATGAATTTCTTCCAAAACTTGTTTTTATGAATTAGAGAGAACTTCCTAATTTGCACTCGGCTGAGCAGTGTAGAACAGGGTACTGGGCATACGTAGAAGTGAATTTTATTCCAACTTCCTTGTATTATATTTATACCACATTTTCCCTGTGTGTTATATACATGAAAAGGCTACAGACGTGTAATAAGCCAAGAGGTTGGTGTGGTGGAATAAAACAAGTGATCTCTCAGGTACCTTTCATTGTGAACTTGGGAGTGGCTATATTGAAATCTTGTTCTATGAATTTTGTCTCCTTACGTTAAATAAGTTAATTTGATAGACTGAAGCTAAATGTGGTATAAATATTTTATTTACCAAGGGTATCAACTTATACGGGTCTGTGTGTATCTGTATACACACACCAGGTATGTCATACGTCAGTATCATATGCATGCATATATTGGGAGGATGGATGTAGTTTTCATATCCCATATTAATGTGAGTTGATTTTTATTGGGGAAAAAAATAAAAACTAGCAAATCTGATTCCATTATCATACTAGCTAATGTTAGGACTGCCCTGGATGTCGACAGGGTTACGTTTTTGTGTATTCATTCTGTCCAGCAGGCCTGCCTGCTCATTGCAAACCATTCCAATCCGGCCATTTGGTTTGGACTTAAACACTTTTTTCAGGCTTCACAAGCTGCTGGAAACACTTCATTGGGAGGTATAGGTTCTGTAATAGAGGCTGGAACCAGTAAGGCAGAGCCCTGTGCTTTGTTTGTGCGTCCCTGTGGTCGTAAGCTGCTCTTTTCAAAGGCAAAGGAAACCTATAGAAATACAAAGCTTGTTCTGTGCGCTCATTAATTTATTTGGCAGGGAATTTAATGGCTTATTCAGCATTCAGTGGAACTGAATAAACGAGCATTTCACCTTGTGAAAAGTTCATGCACTTCATATTGGCCCTTTTATTCTTGTCTCCTTACTGCCCAGCTGTGGAGTCCGCTTTCCCCTTGTTGCAGAGGAGAATTCCTGAGGGCAGAACTATACCCTTCCATGAATTGATGTGAGTGGACAGCCCTTCATCTGAATGTTTGGACCATAAAGTACCGTGCACTCTCTGCTTTGGCCAAAAAAAAATCCCTCCCCACCAAGATGCATTTCTATCCTGTCCCAGCTCAGTGGCACTAACCCCATTCTGTATTGTTCTTGACCAGTGATTGACTACATAACCATTTCAGGACAAAAATGAAGCAAAACTGTCATAGAAATTATGTAGACAAATGAGTGTTCACATCTCAAATTGCTGTTTTGGCTGGATTTTCTGTGAGAAAGTTGTATGTTTGTTTTTTAAATGGAAATGCTTTGATTTTTCTTCCAAAAATTGTGCGTGTTTTACTTTATTTTGCGTAATTTAAATAGTCTTTTTGTTTT